CTGCTCCGAGGCCCGGCGCCGTAACCACACTCACACATCATATATATATATATATATATGTACGTACATCTGCACATTTTAATGCCGTCTCTCTGCTAAAAAACTTCACCTCGACTCCTCGGGACCGAGCAGACGGTGTAGGAGGAGGAAGACGAGGAACGGCGGTTTTACCAGAACTCTGCAGCGTCAGAACCAAGAAACACACACACACACACATATATAAATCTATACATACAGAGCTTCATCATGTCACGTTTATGCCCTAAATCCACAGCATCGGTCACTTCTTCTGTCTCTGAGAAGGTTAATGCAGCAGCATGTAGAAGATCTTTAACCAGAATGATGATTTTAACACGAACATATAAACTTCACGCCCAAAAGGAACTGCTGGATTTTATTATCATTCATTCATGTTTTTGAGCTCCTAAACTTCACTCGCACATCAGACCCGGCGAAAAACTTCAGAATTAGATGGAAATACACACCTCAATGGCAAAATGGCTCAACAGCGCCCCCTAGAAAATTACAAAAAAAGGGCCCCCGAACACACTTTCACGTAGAGCCATGAAATCCGGCACACACATGTAACAACTCGAGACGCACAAAAAAGTCTCAAGAACACACACCCGAAACTCAACAGGAAGTCGACCATTTGGAAAAAATTGGCAGATTTTGGCCGAAAATCGCTAATTTTTGGCCATTTTCAAAATCTATCTCCTCCTAGGGGATAAGTCGTACACACCTGGAATTTGGCCAGCACAAACTCCAGGATGTGGTGATGACAAGTTGTTGAGACGCTCCACAACAGTCTGACGGTTTGGAATTGGCGGCCCGTGCAGTTTCACTCAATGGCCATTTTGTCCATTTTCTCGGTGTTTCTGGCGTTTATCAGAGTCCTGTCAGAAGGTCGCTTCACCTACAGCTACCAGATTCGCTGGGCATGTGTAGACGGTCAGGACGCACAAAAAAGTCAATCAGCACCAAGTCCTAAACCCAACAGGAAGTCCGCCATATTGAAAAAACACGGTGACAATTTTGGTGATTTTGACCGACTTTTGGCCATTTTAACAATCTATCTCCTCCTACAGGGAAGGTCGTACACACCTGAAAGTTGGTCAGCACAAACTACAGGAGGTGGTGATTACACGTTAGTAAAACGGTAAAACAAGTGTGACGGCGTGGAAATGGCGCCCCCCTGAATTTGGCCACAACGCCATAAAACACCAGAATATGAGACGTGGAGGAACATCACCACTCGTGGCTTTAATTATTAGTAACTATGAATATTCAAATTAGCCCATTATTTCTTGATTAAAGTGTAAAATTATAGTTGTTCACTCGCATTCCTGAACAGAAAAAGTCTGTTTTAGTGGTTGAATGTTTGACTAATGATTCGTTTCTGACTTCTCTCTATAGCGCCCCCTATGGCCAGCAGACACAGGTTGGTTTTGTTTTTATATTTTATGACACTGATGCAAAAGTGAGACAGAAAAATCCTCTTGGTTCCTCTTTACGTCCTGGATGTGCAGAGGAAATGACAATAAACATGTTCTGTTCTGTTATAAAGATAAATCCTGCAGACCTCAGACAGAAACTCGGAACATTTTCAGCTGAACGAGTAAAAACAAGCGACGTTATTCTGCAGCTGCTCAGACTCGTGCTCGATATGATTTCACTCCTTCTACCACGTCAACATCCTCGTGGCCTTGACGTGCACAGATTCAGCCTCTAAACAGCAGAGAAACCCAAATCCAACCACCTGCTCTGAGTTTGGAGCAACAAAACGCTAAGTTCTGCAGAAACGAGTCGGTTTGGCAGCTGCTCATCTGTTTATTTAGGTTGAAGGCGTCATGAACAACGAGCTGCTAACATCGACCTCAGGGATCGATCAGGAGACCCGTCTGTCACACGGCGGCGACATATTTTATTCATCGTGAAGGCCGGCTGCTCGTCGAGCTTCTCAGTCGACGTTTCTACAGAAACTCTGATCTACAGGCGACTGGACGGTTTCAGCTCCTGCAGCTACGAGAAGGAAATAAAAGCAGTTCGAAGTGTTTTCCAGGTTTTTACGTGTAAATCTTTGGAATAAATTACTGTTAGTTTTTCAGATTTTTTCAAATAACAGCAAATGTTTAGAAAAATCTAAGAAATAAAAGTTTTAATTCAAAGAAAATCAGATCAAATCTGTGAATATGTTTTATAAATGCTGGTTTGTTATTTTATATATTTGACCCAAACATGGCACCACGTTTACTGTTTAAATAAACAACATTGTTATTTTACAGGTAAACAAATAAACATGTATATTGAATATTATAAATAATTGTCATTTTATGGATTTTTCCTGTAATTTTTTAAAAAGGTTTAAGAATATTTTTAAAAATCAGGCCAAAACTGTGATTAATAACAATATTAAAAAACAACATATTTTTTTTTATAAATGCTAAAATGTTATTCCTCAAATATTACACCATGTTTCACGATTAAAAAAATATTATTTTACAGGTGTTTGAAACAAATAAGCATGTATATTGAATATTATTTTTTTAAAAATAAAAATTATAATTGTGTAAGTTTATGGATTTTTCCTGTTTTTTTTTTTCTCAATTTAAGAAAAATTTAAGAAAAAAGTAATAATAAAAAAATAAACTAATGAGGCCAAAACTGTGATTCATATCTGTATTACAAAGCAATATTTAAAATAATTTGTTATATTACAAATAAAACGGAGTAAAATAGATAAAAAAGAATAAATGTACATGTTGACGGTTAAAAACAGACCAAAACAATAAACAACATGAATCCTGTGTGTTTAAAGCTCCTCTCTGCTGCATGTGAATCAACATCATGATGAATTTTATTCTATCTGCTGGAAGTCTGAACATTTCTGAGCTCATTGTTCTGGTTCTGACTCCAGTTTCCTCCAAAGCTCAGAGAAAAGTGTGAAGAGCAGGAGGCTGAAGGTCTGATCCAGACCCACGTGTCCGGTTCTTCTCACACCAGGACGGTAACGAGCAGCGCGGCCATGAGTCTCCCGGAACCAATTAGCGCGGCTCTGACGAGGTGTCGCCGAACCGGCCGCCGAGCTGCCGGAGAGGTTGCGGCCGAGGCCGAGGCGCGAGAACCGGAGCGACCCGGGAGGTACCGGACCGCCGGCGTGCCTTCAGACAGGCAGCGGCTGACGGACGGTGTTCGGGGCTAAATTGGCTCCTCTCGCTCTCCTCGGCTAATTAAGTCGGCGCTCAGAGGCTTAATTGGAACGAGCGGCGTTATCTCGGCACACACACCGACACACACACCGACACACACCGACACACACCGACACACACACACCGACACACACAGGCACACACCGACACACACACCGACACACACACACCGACACACACACCGACACACGCCGGGAGTGTGACTGACAGCCCGGTGCGCTGATAGGCGGCTGCTGGGGAACAATGTGGAGGAAACCAGTAAGGCAGCAACCCCCACACCGACCGAACCGGGCCGAACCGGGCCACAGAGCGCCGGTCCAGATGCTGGGGAAGCCCAAACCTCCTCCGGTTGTTGTTCTGAAGCCTCCAGTTTGGATTCTGACTTGTTTCTCATCAGTCTGATAACTGGAGCATCCTCCCACATGAACAAACTGTCAATCAAACACAAGCCCCGCCCCTAAAACAAACGCTCCTTTATGGTGTTTTTTCCTCTAAACTGGATCAGAATTCACTGAACTAGCATCCCGCCACATGAAAGGAGGAAGAAATCTAGTGACTGAGTCCATAAACATGTGAGGAAAATGTTCACTGAAGTATTAAATCAAATAAGAAACACTTTTATATGATCTTCATGAAGCACGGCGGTGCAGCATCGTGGAGTCGCCCCCTGCTGGCTGTTGGACGCTTTAAGGATTCACTCTCCGGATCTAGTTTATTTATTTTCTTTATTAATTTTTCAGATTTTTCCCTTTTATGTTGCAGATCATTTCCATATTTCTGTAACACACACTCAAACAACGATGCGGATAATTTATGGATTTCCACGAGTTTTACGAATTTGCTTCGAGACCAAAGTGACGCTGAGAGCGACGACGACAGAGAGACTGAAGTGACGAAGTCATTCTGAGGCTGAAGAAGATGACTTTAGTGGTTTCAGTGCAGGAGGAAGATGAAGATAGCGATCAGTGACTTTTCCTGGTAGCTGCTGGAGTTTTATTTCCTGAACCAGCCGTGTTACAGAAAAAAGCCTCTACAGTACGTATCTGTGTATGTTACCGCTACACATTTAATTAAAGGTTAAAACATCTTCCTGTGTAAATATGTCATGTTCCAACGTGGACACCTGCAGCTTAGAGACACCTGCAGCCTGGATATGAACACACCTGGTTTTACAGTCAGCAGGTGAGGCTTATATTCAGGTGCGCTCATAGTCTGGAATTTACGGTATTTGGGACGTAACACAGAACAAGACGAGGAAACAACGATAAGTGTAGCTCTGCAGGAGAATTACAAACAACTTCTTTCCTCGTTTAATTGAGCTGATTAGCTGATAACGACGACGCACCTGGACTTCTGGTTTTCGTCACCTTCTTGAAGCCGTACGTTAACTTTTGCTGCTCGTCGACATCATTTCAGGCTGAATGTTTTTAGGGTTTGAGTGACTAATTGTGTAATTAATGAACCTAACTGGGAGCCAGCTGCTAACGAGCGACTGACGGGCATTGTAGTGAGCTCGTTCCACGTCCGTCACAAACCTGTTTGATCCTGAAAAACAAAAACTTTTCGCTCCTACGAGCGTTTTTTTTTTTTTTTCGGTGATTTCTTGAACGAGTGTCCAGAATGTAAAAATAACTCCGTCTCACACGGTTTCGGTCCGTCGACTTCGCCGAGCGTCAGACGGAAACGCCGGTGCTCGGTCTCATTACAGTGTTTTAATTGCAAGCGCACAACGAGGCGTGGGCGTCGTGTTCCTGCCGAGGCATTAGCCGTCCTCCTGGTTTCCGCCCACGCGCCCGTCGCAAACAATCCTTGAGCGAACAAAACAGCCCGGCGGGTTAACGCAGGCGAAGACGATCGACTCTCAGGATGCAGAGAAACTCAGTCTGAGGAACACAAAGCGAGCTGCAGCCGGACGCAGCGCTGGTAGCTTAGCATGCGGCGCGGCATGCGGGCGGCTCACGTACCTTGTTGTTGCTCATGCACTGCAGCTTCATCTGCTTCATGTAGGTGGTGGTGAGGGGCACGTTGTAGTCGATCACCTCCGACACCAGAGGGCTCGGCCGGTCGTTCTCTGGAGACGAGAGAGGAGACGGCGTTCATGTTGTCATTCGCTTATTTGTGTCCACATGCATGAAGAACAGCGACGTTGTGCTACAGCTGGAACATGAGCAGCTTCAAGCTGCAGCCACACAAACAGAGTTTCATCTCATCACTTGTTGCTCCTCAAAACTGAATCGTGGAGAATTTCATTTGGCTTTTTGACAAGAACTTGCAAACAAAGACTCTTTCATGTCAAAGTGAAAGCAGCTGATGTCAGTTCATTTACATCATATGAAACGTACAATAAGAAGTATTGAGTCGTTCGCTTCATTCTGGTTTGTTCAGACTCTGTCAGGTTCCACAGGGTCATGAGTGAACAGAACTTTTCAGGTCCAGACTCTGATCCTGAGCTGGGCTGAGGTCTGGACTCTGACCGGGCCTCCAGAACTTCACCTTGTTGTGTGTAAACCATTTCTGTGGAGCTTTGGCTGCATTCATTCATTTTGGCTTCTAGGGCCTACTGCTGAGAAGATCCCCACATGATGCTGCCACCGCCGTGCTTCATCATGACGCTGCCACCACCGTGCTTCATCATGACGCTGCCACCGCCGTGCTTCATGTCATGATGCTGCCACCACCGTGCTTCATCATGATGCTGCCACCACCCTCACTAGTCTCCTTCTTGTAACTCCTTCAGAGGAGTCATAGGAGTCTTGGTGTCCTTCCTCTCTGACTAATCTTTTTCCACCTCAACAGTTTTTTTGTAAGTTCTTGCCAACAGAGCAGAGTTAATTGTACCATGATTTATTGTGGTGGAACAACAACAACAACAGAAATAACAGAGAACAGCAGCCAGAGTTTGGCCTTCATCGGGAAAAGTTCCAACACCAAACAGCACAACTTAGAGCAACACGATGGAACAATGTGATGATCTGCTGGAAGCCTGGAGTCCTGCATTCATGTGGATGTTTCTCTGCTTCTCCACCTACATGAGGTTTCTACACTCAGAGGAACGTCGTCAGAGACACAAACAGCTGATCTGATTCAACTGATTCACAAGAAGATGATCACTGTGGACGTTTCTGTGGCTGAAAAGAGGCAAAATATCTCCATAAACAGAACCCAGAACGACCTAAAGCTGCACCAACAGTCTCCTCCTGCTCATCTTCTCATCACCATGTGGTGACTCCATCACCTCCCTCAGAGCCTCTCCAGCTGTTCATGATCTCCAGCTGGTCGTCGCTGCTGCTCTGTCACACAGCCGACACTAGAGGACCCTCCAGAGCTGGAGGCCGGCAGACAAAGAGAGGCTGAGTTACACCGTGAACTCCTGCAGATCTCCGTCCACACCTCCACCTCCACCTCCACCTCTACCTCTACCTCTACCTCCACCTCCACCTCCACCTCCTCCTCCTCCATTCATCTTGAGGGACGTGTCTAAAGTCTGGAGCGTCCACAGAGCGGACACGGATCGATGGAGGCTTCAGAGAATACATCCACCGCTGACTGATGTTCTTCGTCGAGGAGGCAGCGTGTGAGAGGGAGTCTCCAGAGAGGCAGTGAGTGATGGGGGTTCTCAACGCGTGGCTCGGGGCCCGCTGAGGGGTCGGGGCAGTGCTGATCTTGGTCGTGAGGGGTTTTTTCTTTACAGAACAACTAGAAACGATACAACTTCTGATAAAAAGGATCAACATGTGGTGAGTTTTTCTGTAAAGGCTCTTCTGATAAATGACCACAGTGTGTTTCTAATCTGCTGGTGTTCTGCTCCAGTGGCGATAACACCAGACGGTGGAGCGCTCTGAGGTTCAAACACTGAAAACAACAGCATGCATCTGTAAACTAAAGCTGATTTAAACACCGTGTAGCAGCGTGCATTCACTAGATATCATCTGTTAGCTAACACAGCACTGAAAATCTGCAAAATGAGAATGATAAAAAAACATTTACCAGGTTTTAAACCTTGGTATACGTATTTGTTCTTTGAAAGAACAGCAAATGTCTGTAAATTATAATTCTGTTTTTTGCTGATTCTGCTGATTAATACAGTAAAACGGTAGAATTTCACAGTCAGCTGCTGTAAACTGATGAAATGTTGTTTGTAAAAATGCAGAATGTGGATGTAAATGTTATTCATGTATGTTTTTTGTTTGTTTTTGTTTTACAGCCAACATGTTCAGTAAATTAACGCTTTCATGTGTGATTTAACAAAACACGCAAATTCTGTAAAACAACATTAGAAAAACTTTTGATTTTTCATTCCCTAATATACATCGTTTTTCTTTCAAATTGCTGCAAACTTCTGTAATTTATACATTTTTAATGTAAATACAGTAAAAACAGTGAATTTTGAGTGATTAAATGTAAAAACACAGATTTATAATGTGGGTGTTTTTCTTTTTGGTTTTTTCACTATTTATTTCTGCAATTTAACAAAACACACAAATTCTGTAAAAAAACCCAAATTAGTCCCATTTTTCACACCCTGATATCCATATTTTGTCTTTCAAATTGCTGCTAATATCTGTAAAATACAGTAAAAACAGTGAAATTGGAGCGATTAACTGTATTTTATTTTTTTCTGTTTTACTTGTTATGATCCCTAATTTTATAAAACAGGTAAAACTTCAGCGATAAGAGTTAAAGAAGTTATTTATTTTCTTTTAATGATGGCAAATATCTAAGAAAACAACATTTTCTGATGATAACAGATGATAAATTCAGTAAAACTGATGTAGTTCTGCTGTCAAACGATGTAAAAGAACAAATTAATATTCAGAAAAATACTGATTTTGTTTCCAAATGGGGACATTATGTGTTTTATTTTTATTTTGTTTGCAGATTTTGAACTTTCCTCTTCCCAGATATTTTATTCTTCACATTTCTTCTCACTTTGAACTCTTATCACAGCGTTATTTTGCTCCATATTCTCCGTTTTGTTTCTCTCTGTTTCCCAGAAGCCACGATTATTTTCTAATCTCGTATTTTTAGTGCACATCTGAGAACATGAAGAAGCTTCTGCTTTAGTGCAGCGGCGTCGAGGAAAATCAGAGAAAACGATTATTAAACCCGACCGGAGCAGCTTCATAACAACGTGTTCCTCCCACAGTGATGTGGTTTCAACCGTTTACATGTTAAAGCACCAAACTGGTTTCAGGCTTCGTCAGCATTCTGCATCCAACAAACGGCCTTTTTTTTATTATTATTATTGTTTCCTGTTATTATAAAGCATCTGATGGTCTTTCCTTTAACACACTGTAAACACACACACACACACACACACACACACACACACACACACACTCATCCTGCTGCCCGTGTCAATTAAGCAGGGCCTCGGTCCTCACTGATTAATTGCATTTAATAATTCACAGCTGAACTTTAGTGGGAGTCACTTCAGCATAGCGATAAAGGGGATGAGGTCGTGTGTGTGTGTGTGTGTGTGTGTGTGTGTGTGTGTGTGTTCAGGCTGAACCCCTGCAGGGTACGAAGGCAATTAGCTGCTCTCTGAGTGGCATCCAGCGACGACACAACACACACTCTGCCTTTAACCGTGTGTGTGTGTGTGTGTGTGTGTGTGTGTGTGTGTGTGTGTGTGTGTTTTGATTGTGTGCTCGGCCACAATTACATCTTTCTAATTAAATAACTTCCATTACATCCTGTGGAAGCCTCATGTTGACAGTTTTGCGATTTTCCTTCGAACCGACGTACGACGCTCTGCAGCCGGTCCGACCCGGAAAACACCCAGAACCCACATTAGAACTCAGACAAGACTTAAATTAGAAAACTTAAAAAAGAAAAGACTTCAATAGGGAAGTCTGAGTCAAGCGTCACGGCCCTGATCGGTGTGATATCTGCTGATACCGAGCCCTGATCCAGTCCTGAAATAACTGAAAAACTGTTTATTTCTAAACAGATTTCTCAAATTCTGTTACTAGATTTGTATTTCTAACTTAATTTATTATCTACGTGGTCAGAACAAGTCGTGTGAGCGATAAAACCAAAGGGAGCAGCTCGGGTTCAGCTTGTAGACGCCGTGCAGGTTGAACGAGCTCCGTTCCGTCTGCTTGGTTTGTATTTACTTCCCTATAAAGCTTCTTCTGACAACATGCACTTCAAGAACGTTAACGTTTTTCAATTCAATCTAATGGATGCACTTCAAAAATGAAAACATCTGCAGTGCATTAAGAAAATAATCTGCATGTCAGGAGCCTTGTAGGAGGTGGAAACCTGTGTTTTCTACATAGATACCAGTAAACATATCGTAGACCAGCTGCAGTACCTGGTTGCTCCACCAGGTGGAGCCTCTCACGGTTTGAACCTGTAGAGACCAGAGGAGGCGTCTACAGACTACAGCTCATGTTCATGACCTCTGACTAGAGCTACGTCTGTGAAGATCCTCAGTCCTCCAGGTCCTGGTTGTTCTGGTAGGTTAATGGTAGCAGCTGGACCTGCTTGAGTTCCTTGAAGACGTTCCACCTTCATCCAAGAGGCTTCATCAGCTCTGACTGACTAGTTGGGAGTTCCACAT